CCCCCCCCCCTCCCTCTAAGCATCACATTCCCAGCAATCAGGAAACCGTGTTCATTGGTAAAACGACAAGTTTACCTTCCCCATAAACTCCAGCAACTCGTTATTCGCTTCCCCTCGTGCTGCAGGAGCTGCAACGGAAACTCTCACGTCATCCGCATTTATCCCTGTCACCAGCTTTCAAGCAGCAGAAATCTCACAGCAATGTTAGCATCAAATGTGGGCAGTGCAATTTGACCTGTCAGACAGACTTCCACTCTATAAGACACCACCACTGCTTGTTGTATGTGCTGAACAAGGAAGTGCCAAATTCCAGTCTATCGACGTTTGGGGAACGCAGTTGGCATCCCCAGACTCCTTCAAGTCATCTCAGCCACTCGTCGAGTCTCTTGTTGTCACCATCCTCATCCCCATCATCACCACTGGCATCATCATCATCATCATCATCATCATCATCATCATTCTACCATTTACTGATTGATTGATAGCACGCAACACTCGCTTAAGAGGGAAACAAAGTAGGAGCGAACACACCACTCAAAGTCCACCGTGCCAGAAGACACGAAGCAGAGAACATAGAAATAGGATAGGCTGATGGGATGGGACCTTTGGGACGATGAAGGTTGTGATAGGCTTATATAGGAACAGGATAGGCTGTATGTGTGAGGTGGTCCTCTGTACGATTGCACTAGCCAGATGTTAAGCAAGGCTGGATGGACATATAAACAGTTGACGGATGATTGACAAGCAGCCCCAGGGACGGCCCTGAACGCCCCCTCCGCGCCCCAAGCCCCCAGGGGATTACCCTGCTGTGTGCCTGGGAGCTGCTACCGTCTTCCCCCGAACATAACGCACCCTAAAAATGAATGTATACAAGCGATATTTCCAGCCAGATACAGCCAAAATGAGGGTGCGTTGTGTCCGGGAGCTGCTAGTAAGTATCCCGGCCAGTAGGGCAATTGTTGCATGCTGAGGCTGCTACACGGGCCCTGTTTTGGGGCCCGTCGGTTGTTCTAGGCCCCCAGGCCTCGCACCCATTCTTGGTGAGTGACCTCGAGGCCCACCGCCATTTCCCAGGCCAGGCACACACTTGGTTCCACGTGTGCCCTCCTTTATTCAACATTTATTATTTTTGCTGGGTTTCATCTGGACTATTCCCCCCCCCCCGCTTGCTCAGGCGGCTAGGGCCGCAAGGGTTAGGCCGACCCTCCTCCTATCTTCTATTCTCCCCCACTGTCTTTGTACGAACATGCTTGCCGGGGATAAGTAATTTGGACTGTTGCCCCCCACAATAGAAGGGGCCTGCATGAAAGAAAAAAAAAAGAAAAAAAAAAAGGAAACTACCGTCTCTACCGAGTTCGTGGTCGGTCATTCTTGCTCTAATTTGCAGCCCTTTTAGTTCCCACTGTCTCTATAAAAAAAAGCTCGCTCTTCCCTATCGGCGGCCTTCGGAAAGATCTCAGAGTACATTTCTGATGATGGTGGCGAGTTTTCTACGTCGATTTCTGCAGTTTTTTTTAGGGCATTCTCTAGCAATTGTGTTTCTGTTTCGTCTCCCATTCATTCACCAATTTGCCGTTGTTTGTGATACGGTCAGGTAGCTCTTTTTTTGTCAAACCACTTCCATCTATCTACCCTGCTAGTTCCTCCCTACCGTCTTCACCCGAATAAAACGCCTGGTCATTGTAGCTGTATTTAATACAATTTTCAGTCCAGATACAGCGATAATGAGAGGACGTTCTATTCGGGTGAAGACGGTAACCTTCTGAAAGATCTCTGACTACATTTCTGATGACGGTGAGTTCTCTGAAAAAGTTGATTTCTAAATTTTTAGAGCGTTTTCTAGCCATTGTTTTCTGTTTCGTCTGCCGTTCATTCGCCAATTGCCTGGAGATTTTCGCCGCTGTTTTGTGATACGGTCAGATAGTACTTGTCAAACCCCTCCTATCTATCTTGGTTTGGTACGTCTTCCGTTCCTCTCAGGCATTTTTCCAGTTGCCTCCGATGAGTCCTGATCCTTTCGTGAAACACCTCACTAAGTAGGCGAAAATTGTTTATTCGCTAGCTTGTGAAAGCTGTGCATCCTTTATTTTGATGTACTCATCGAATCGAAACTGATGATTCGTTCTATTGGTTTGTGATCCAGTTCCAAATAGGGGGCCAGTGATAGAATCTCAGTTTCTGGCCCCAGCCACAAGTTGAGTGAGAGTCCGATCGAGCCTCTCCTAAAATTTTGGAGGCTTGCGCGCCGTCTATAAAATAAATCGACGGCAGGCGGCCTCTGAAAGAGTCCCGCGGCCGATGACCAGCATGAACTGATGGTTTAACGGTTCGCATTCGGGAGTAAGACACTACCGTCTTCACCCGAATAGAACGCCTCGTCATTCTAGCTGTATTTGGCACAACTTTCAGTCCAGATGCAGTGATAATGACCGGGTGTTCTATTCGGGAGTCGGGCACTAGGAAGTAGTCAATGCGTGAGAAGGCTGTGCCGTGAGACTGCCATATCTTTTCTTGACGAGCGTGAAGGCTTTCTTCTCCGGATGGATCTATCATCCTCGACTTCGAGAAAGCCAACAATCAAGTCGAGGACGCTTGGTGTACAAGAAGCTGGGTGTTAGGCCCCAATTTCAGAAAGTGGCTGCGAATTCTCTATAAAGACGCGATTGGTTCTGTCCGGACCAATGGGTGAACATCAGACAGTTCGACGGAATACGAGTTGCTCCCCATCGGTTATGTCCGGACCAATGGGTTAACATCAGACAGCTACCCTATCCTCTAGATCAGTCAGGCAGGGCGGCACATTAACCCCTCTAATCAGTCAGGCCTTTCTATGGTGGGGCCAATAAATAGCCTCCTTCCTACGCAAGGACCCCCCGATTCAAAGGTTCCCGGAAGTAAACACCAATACCTCCCACCATGTAAACAAAAAAAATCCAACCGTAAAAAAAAATAAAAAAAATCCAACCGTGAAACAAAAAAACCCAACCGTAATCATGTTCGCGGATGACTTGACGGCGCTAATCCGATCCTCTTCGGACTACTAAACAGTTAGTGCATAGGTCGGAGGGATAGAGGAGTTTAGACTCGCGTCAGAAACGAAGATGAACTGGCACAAAACACAGTCAGATGGGGGCTTTCGGATGAAGTAGTACCCCAGCTACAGGGACCGGAAAGTCAAATGACACCGGCAAAGCTGGAAACCCTGACAAGGTAATTGATTTGATTCAAGTAACAAAACATGGTCCCGACGCCGTAAAAGGGGTTTACGCACCAGTTTAGCTAATGAAATCAACAGCATGGGGGTAAAATCGACCCACTAGTAGACTTTTTGCTGCTCGGCAAAGGCCTCGCTATCAACACCATATTCTCCATGATAAGGTTCATAACCTCGATCTTGAAAATCCCTGATGATATTATTACGATGCTCAACCTGAAGGCAGGAGCATATCTTCCGGTCGAGTGTCTTTTAAAAGTAACAGAGAGAACTACATACCAAACAAGAAAGAGAACTACTACATACCAAGGGTCACTTGGCACTATGGGCCTCGCTCCACTACTCACCAAATGTGCACAATGGGAACGAGTCGTCCGCTAGAACATGGAAAGGTACGCCGCCATATTTTTCGTCTTTTCTGCATCTGGCAAGTAGTGGAGTGAGGCCCTATATCACAAGGAAACCAGAGTTGGGAGGAAAACTAGAGCCCTCCAAGTGAAATGGATAATCAAAAAAAAAAAAAAAAAAAAAAGTTAAAAAAACACAACACTGGCATGGCACGGGATGGCACTAGTTAGTATCCTCCCATCCCTGGCGCCCACGGAAAGCCCACCTCACCTGACATGTCTGGCACAAACAAACTGGACAGACTCTAAAAACAGGATGCAACCGACTGGACTAGATCAGTTGGTAGTAACTTCGTACACCCTTGAACTGCTGAAACGCAGACCCAAGTTCGAATCCAGATCACCAACAGATGAGTGAAGATAACTCTAATTTAACCTGGGGCTGGTCAGAGTCCGGCGACGATATCTAGAGTCTGTCGCCCTTTCGAAAGAAGAATTCA